CTGTTTTTGCAAAATAATTCCTAAAAATGTTTGAACAACAAAGATGTAAAATATGGGGGAAAAGAAGAAGAGAACTTTTTAAGAAGTTTTAAATCTCTAATTAGGTAATAGACGAATTAAAACTTTGACCTAAAATCTCACTGCTATAAAGTGAAATTAGAATTAAAACAGTCTGATGTCAGCAATTAGAGGACTAAAACCTTTTTGAATGACTTGCTACAAAATATAAAATGACCTGTTCCTTTCCATTCTACTGGTCTTGGCATTTTATGCCTAAGTTCAAATTTCAATTCTATCTGCGTAAGATCTTAGGTATTTCTGTAAATTCAGTTTTTCTATGTGAACTATTTTTTTAACTATCAGAAGAGAAAAACTTCCCACAATAAAATTAAAAGCAACGTCATGCATAGAATTTAAAAAATAAAGATATTTGGCATCTAGTACAATAACCTATTCTACAGATGAATTGATCTATGCCCAATTATAGGGTCAGTTAGTGGCAGAGGCAGGAATTAGCCAAATTTTTATAACTTCACAGTATTCTGTTACCTCATCCTATCTCCTCCAAATGATGTTATTTCCACGTATAATACAACAAATTGAGTAATTATAAATTCTCTCATTCACAAATATACAAGAAATGTTACTAAAATCATTTACAAAACTCATGAACAATTATTTGTATTTTCCCAAAGTTAGGTACCATTGTTAGCTTTACTGAATTATAATTGACAAATAAAAAGTGGATATATTAAGGTGTACAACGTGTTGTTTTGATATACATATACAATATAAAGTGAATACCACCATAGCCTAATTAACATATCCACTAAAACACAAAATTATTTGTGTGTTGTGAGAACACTGATATACTTTGTTAGCAAGTTTCCAATATAAGACACAGCAATAACTACAATCATGCTGTACATCAGATCTCTAGAACTTATCCTAAAAAACTCAAACTTTGTACCCTTTGACCAACATCTCCCCCATTTTCTCCAACCCCCAGAAACCACTATTCTACTCTCTGCTTCTGTGAGTTTGACATTTTAAAATTTCACATGTAAGTGACATTGCTAAGTATTCATCTTTCTGTGCCTGGTTTATTTCACTTAGCACATCACCCTCCAGGTTCATCCACGTTGTCACCAATATCAGGATTTTTTAAAGGCTTCATGTCCCATATTATCTATATACTCCTCCATCAATTAACACATAGGTTGATTTCATACCTTGGTTATTGTAAACAATGCTGCAATGAACATGGAAATGTAGATATCTCACAATATAATTTCATTTCCTCTAGATATGTACCAAGAAGTCAAATAAATGAGATTGATGGATCATATGGTAGTTCTCTTTTTAATTTTTTGATGAAACTCCATGCTGTTTTTCAATATGTGGCTGTACCAATTTACAACAGTGTAAAAGAGTTCCATTTTCTCCATATCCTCACCAACACTTAGTCTTATTGTCTTTCAAATAGGTGTGAGGTGACATCTAACAGGTGTGAGGTGACATCTAACAGGTGTGAGGTGACACCTAACAGGTACGAGGTGACATCACATTGTGGTTTCCATTTGCATTTCCCTGATGATTAATGATGCTCAGCATTTTTTTCACATACCTAATGTACACTGTATGCGGTCTTTTGAAGAACATCCATGCAAGTTCTTCGTACATCTTAAAAAATTGGGGTGTTTTGTATCACTGAGTTCTTAAATATATATTGGATATTAAACCTTTATCAAATGTATGGTTTGCAAATATTTTCTCCTTTTCTGTTGATTATCCATTCACTCTGTTGTTTCCTTTGCTGTGCAAAAGCTTAGTCAGTTACAGCCATATCACTTTAGTTTTGCTTTTACACCTTACGTTTTTGGGGTCCTATCCAAAAAAAATCACTGCCTAGACCAATGTCAAGAAACTTTTCCCTTTGTTATCTTCTAGTAATTTTAGTTTTAGCTTTTTAAGTAATCTATTTTGAGTTGATTTTTTGTATATGGTGTGAAATAATGATTTTCATGTGAGTTTTTATATATGGTACAGAAATAAAATTTTTATGCTAATGCTTCTGCATAGGGATATTCCGTTTTTCCAACACTATGAAGAAACTATCCCTTTCCCATTTTGTGCTCTTGATATCTTTGTTAAAGATCAACTGATTGTACACATGGTAAAAGCTTTCTGTTCTGTTCTATCGGTCTTTGTGTGTGTTTTTATGCCAGTACTACAGTTTGGATTACTAGGTTTATAATATATTTTGAACAATTCTGGAAGCATCAAGTAGTATGATGCTTCCAGAAATTGTTCTTGCTATGGCTGCTTGGGGTCTTTTGTGGTTACAAACCAATTTTAGGATTGCTTTTTCTATTTCTATGTAAAATGTCATTGGAATTTTGATACCTATTGTACTGAATATATAGATTGCTTTGGGTAGTATAGACATTTTAATAATATTAATTCTTCCAATTCAAGAACACAAGATATCTTTCCATTATGTGTCTTCCTCAATTTCTTTCATCAATGTTATATAGATCTCTGTGTAGATCATTCATCTACTTTGTTAAATTCATTCCTTTTTACTTTTATGCTACTGTACAGGGGATTGTTTTCTTAACTTCTTGTCCATTGTTAGTTTATAGAAACACAAGGTTTTTGTATGTTAATTTTGTTATTTTGCAACTTTACTGAATTCGTTAGTTCTAACATTTTTGGTGGAGTCCTTGGGGTTTTCTATATATAAGTTCATATCATCTACAGAAAGACAATTTTACCTTTTCCTTATTAATTTCCACATCTTTTATCTCTTTTTTGGGTCTAACTGCTTTGATTCAGATGTACAGTACTTTATTAACTAGAAATGATGAGAGTAGAAACCCTTGTCTTGTTCCTGATCTTAAGAGGACAAGCTTCCAGCTACCTTAGGGCTTATGTAACCTTTATGTTGTTCAGATACATACCTTCTATCGCTAATTCGTTGAGTTTTTATCACAATATGATAAACTTCGTCAAATTTATTTCTGCATCTATTGAGAGATCACACAATTTCTGTCCTTCATTCTGTTAGTGCGGTGTATCATTTACTGGTTCTTGCGTATGCTGAACTATCCTTGCACCTATGGGATATATTCCACTTGCTCACTGTGTGTGAACCTTTTAATGTGTTGTTGAGTTCAGTTTAGCTGTATTTTGTTGAGGATTTCTGCATCTATGTTCATCAGAGATACTGACCTATATATATATTTTTCTTTTAGTGTCCTTATCTGGCTTTGGCAACACAGTAACACCAGACTTTTAAGGTTTTGGAAGAATTTTACAACTTGTGCTATGTCTTCTTTAAGAGTTTGTTGGATTCACCAGTGCAGCCTTCAGGTCCAAAGCTTTTCTTTTCTGGGAAGTTCCTGATTACTGATTCAGACTCCTTACTAGTCATTGGGTGTAACTGGATTTTCTATTTCTTCATTATTGGTAGACTATGCTTCTAGAAAAAAATTTTCCATTTTTTCTAGGCTGTTTGTATATATTCCTTGTAGTCTCTTATTATCATTTGTATTTTTGTAGTATCAGCTGTAATGGCTTCTCTTTCATTTCTAGTTTTAATTGAGTCCTTTTTGCATAGTCTAGCTAAAGATTTGTCAGTTATTTAGAAAGATACACAAAACCAACTCTTAGTTTCATGATCACAAAAAAAAGCTCTGAGCTTCATTAACTCTTCTATAGTTGTTCTAGTCTCTATTTATTTTTGCTCTGATCTTTATTATTCATTTTTTTCTGCTAACTTTATGTCTAGTTTGGATTCTAGTACAGGGTTTCCAATCTTTTGGCTTCTTTGGGCCACAATGGAAGAAGAATTGTCTTGAGCCACACATAAAATACACTAACACTAGCTAATGAGCTTGAAATAAAAAACACAAAAAATCTCATAATGTTTTAAGAAAGTTTACGAGTTTGTACTGGGTCATATTCAAAGCCATCCTGGGCTACAAGTGGCCCACAGGTTGGACAAGCTTGTTCTAGTCCTTTGAGATACATAGTTAGGTTATTCATTTGATATCTTTTTTTAATGTAAACAGTTATCACCAAAAAATTCCCTCTTAGAACTGCTTCTGCTGCTTCATATAAGTTTTGCTATGTTGTGTTTCCTCTGTCTTTCGTCTCGAGATAACCTCTTCAATGTCCCCTTTTGTTTTTCCTTTGATCTACTGGTTGTTCAAGAATGTGTTAATTTCCACGTATTTGTGAACTTTCCAGTTTTACTCCTGTTTTATTGATTTCTAGTTTCATACTCATGCTTACAAAAATACTTGATACAATTTCAATTTTCTTAAATTTCTTAAGATTTGTTTTACGACCTAAGTATCTTAAGTTCTATGTGCACTTAAAAAGAGTGTATATTCTGCTACTGTTCAATGAAATGTTCTGTATATGTCTGTTAGGTCCATTTGGCCTATAATGTTGTTCAAGTCTGTTATTATTTTCTGCCTGGCTAATCTATCTATTGCTAAAGGAGGGTTACAAAAGCCTTTATTATTGTATTACTATCTACTGTTCCTATCATATCTGTTAAAATTTTAGAATCTCAATTTTCTCATTATAAAAAGTATTTAGGTGCTCTGATGCTGGATGTATATATATTTACAATTATTATATCTTCTTGATGAACTGAATTCTTTACAATGACTTTGTCTCTTGGCGACAGGTTTTGACTTAAAAGTCTATAGCCATTCCTATTGTCTTCTGGTTACCATTTGAATGAAATATCTTTTTCCTCCAGTTGTTTAACATAGCATTGCTGAGTAAAAAAAGAATAAAAAAAGGAGTATCTTTTTCCATTTCTTCATTTTCAGCCTACGTGTGCCCTTAATGCTAACATAAATCTCTTATAGGTATCATACTGTAGGATCTTTTTTAAAAAAAAATTTTTTTAAGACAACTCGGTCTTTTGATTAGAAAGCTTAATCCATTTACATTTAAAGTAATTGTGGATAAAGACTTACCATTGTCATTTTGTTGTTTTCTGACTATCTTGTAGTTCCTCTATTTCTTTCATCCTCTCTCAATGTCTTCCTTTGTGATTTTTTTTTTTTTGGTAGTTAGATGCTTTCTCGTTATCTTTTGTGTATTTACTACAGGGTTTTTTTCCATGCGATGTATATAAGACATCTTGTAGTTATAATAGCCTGTTGTAAGCTGATAAAAATTTAATTTCAATCACATACGAAAACTCTAACTTCTCCACACCCTCTCCAAGTTTACAGTATTGAGGACACAATTTATATCTTTTTATATTATATATAAAAATTATCCAAGTGGCCAGGTTGAGTGAATGGTGACAGTTCCTCAATTTGTTCAAAAAAAAATCTAAATTAAAGACAATAGAAAACCATTAAATAACTAAGAAAGGAACTGATAAAATCATCAACAGTAAATAAAGATGACAAGAAACAGAAAGAATCAGTAAATTGAAATGCTCATAAATGAACATGACCCTAAATAATGTTAATAGATCCTCTATATAAAATTATAATTTAACTCACATATACGATATATGCAAAATCACACGTTAATATACTTTGAGCATTTACAGAACACTGAATGAACATTTTTATTATACACTATTTTCATGCATATGCTGACTTTTAAACCTAACCTTAAAAATGTGCCTTCTTCCTAATATGATTCATTTGCTTTTTTCTATTAAAAAAAAAAATAAAGGTATGTGAGAGTTACACATCTGTGGAAGGGGCACAGAAGAAGAAACGGAAGAACATACACTACAATTAATTTAAAGATTAGACACATAAACCCCAAAAAACTTTGATGAAACAAAATTAGAAAAGGCAGGATTGCTTTCTAGTCTTAGGAAACTGAACAAAATGAGTGGCCAACAAAATACAAAAATTCCAAATGTCTATCTCAAAAAAATTATTTTCTCCTATCATTTCAGTCCTGATTCTACAGAAAGCACTAATAATTTTGTCATTCCCATATTAAAAAAAGAAATTTCTTCCAATAATACATTATGTCTAAATGCAGAATTCATATAACCAAGAGGCCAATTACTTTCGGCTCGTATCTTTCTGAAAAGTATGTTAAAAAATATATATATTCTATAAATTTAAATTCAGGGCCTTAGAGATTAACTTCATAGTCATCTAAGCCCATTTTTCCATTAATAGTAGGATAAATATTTCCATAATTGACTACTAGGAAGGGATGATGTAGCTCAACTGAGAAAAAAATCTAACTCATCCATCCTTGGCCTGTGCACCAATTCTTAAAAACTAGCACTGATTATTCCTTAGTAGTAATACTGGAAAGGGTACATTGTTATTTTAAAACTATTTTTTCTCTTAGCTAGGAGAAAAATAGTGATTCTGAGAAATGATGGGGAAACGATGTCTAGAAACTTAAGTTCTATATATATTCAATTTGACATACCTCATAATCTAACATCAAAGATGATTTAACAACTTATCTCAACTCTCATGTTAAGTGGAGATACCACCTAGCTTTCCATCTCAAAAGTAAGGTGCTCAAAATTAATCCCAGAACTTTGGGAAGCCAAGGTAGGAGGACTGCTTGAGGCTAGAAGTTCGAGACCAACCTGGGCAACATAGGGAAACCCTATTTACAAAATACATTTAGAAAAATTAGCCAGGCATGGTGGCATGTGCTTCTGGCCCCAGCTACTCAAGAGGCTAAGGTAAGAGGATGACTTGAGCCCAAGAGACAGGGGCTACAGTGAGCCATGATTGTGCCACTGCACTCCACCCTAGGTGACACAGTGAGACCCTGTCTAAAAAAATAAATAAATAAATAAAACAAAATTAAAATTTTAAGGCAGTTATAAAAATATCTGGAATTGTGGGTTTTGGTTCCAATGTCACGTAGGCAAAGGTTACATTTCTAGGCCTCAGTTTTTACATCTGAAAAATAAGTCAGGAGGGCCGCAAGATTTCTAAAATTCCTCCTGCTAAAACTTAACAGAAAGGAGTTCCTAAGAAGAACAATTTTTGGTGTTTAATACATAGGAGGCACTTAAGAATTACTTTTAGTCTGGAAAATCAACTGTAACAAAATTTCCACGTCAAAAAACTCTCAGATTTATAGAAAACATACTACCATAATTAAATGTTCTGATTATATTTACATCCTGGGACAACAATGATCATTTATCCCTATTAAAAAGCAAATGTCATGCAAATACATGTTCTGGAATACCCTAACAGTACACTGATCTGAAAATATTCTATAATATATTCTCAGCATTTCCCAAAATGTGTTTCTTTCTTTCTTTTTTTTTTTTGAGACCGAGTTTCGCTCGTTTCCCAGGCTGGAGTGCGATGGCGCGATCTCGGCTCACCGAAACCTCCGCCTCCTGGGTTCAGGCAATTCTCCTACCTCAGCCTCCTGAGGAGCTGGGATTACAGGCACGTGCCACCATGCCCAGCTAATTCTTTTTTTTTGTATTTTTAGTAGAGACGGGGTTTCACCATGTTGACCAAGATGGTCTCCATCTCTTGACCTCGTGATCCACCTGCCTCGGCCTCCCAAAGTGCTGAGATTACAGGCGTGAGCCACCGCACCCGGCCCCCAAAATGTATTTCTGCAACTTCATTCACTATCAAATAGGTTTGGGATGTGTTTTCAATGTAATTACACTCTTTCTTTATAGCAGAAATTACTAGTGTTCTACACATTCTTCATAAAGTAATTATTTTGTTACATACAAGCTATCCCAAATTTATCTGGATCAAAAAACCCTTCTGGGGAATGTCTATCAATATCTCATAGTGTTTCAACTGCTCAAAGTACAATTATTTAGTAGTAAACACAGGCACTATTATCAGACAAAACACTGATCAAATTTTATTATTATAAATTATTAGAAAGGTAATTAAGATTTAAAAAATACTGGAATGATCAATAACTGGAGTAACAAAGGCTAAAAACTGAAAGCTCCAATAATCTACCAAGCATTGAAATTTTCCGTGAGGCTGCTAGATGTGCTTTCGTATTTGAGACTAAGAAAGTAATACATAGTCACATAAAAGAATGTGATGAAAAAAATACTTAGCTTCTCTCAGATGCCACTGGTAAAATGAAACTCAGTCAAATGAATATAAGAATATGTTCAAAAAAGAACAGAAGGAGGCTTGCCCAACAGCTATCAAAATTTTTCAAACATATTTCTTTTAACATACAGGTATTCAACATACAGGTATTTTATCATTCTGGTATTTAAAAGAGAAATTTCTTCCAATAAAATAGTGCCAATTAAGTGAGGAAAATAGATGGACATTTCCCATGAAAAACAAGATGCCATTCAGAATACCAGATTATTCCAGAACTAACTTTCATTAAGCCAAAGGACTTAAAAATATCCTAGAAGAAGAATTTAGTACATGAAAGTTTAATTATTAGATTCAGTTGAAAGAAGAATCTTCATCTAAGGCAAACTGAAGAACTGATGAGCACTCTAAAACCAATCCCTAACTTTAGTTATTAGTCTTTAACATTAGTCTCTAGTCTCATGCTTAATTCTTAATTTTAGACTTACTAATCTCATTCTTAATGCTTTCTAATGCATAAGACTTCATAACTACAAACTGATACAATCAAACTTATATGTCAAATTGTGATTTTGTTTAATAAAAAAAAATTTATCCAAAAGAGCCTCTATAAATAAACTATTTTTGGCTGTCAGAAAACATCAGCACATTTTATTCCTTCCAGTAAAGTTATCTTAATTCTAACAAAACTGGACTGACCTATAGCTCTTGGTATTTCTGATCTAAAATGGCAGGAGAAAGATGGTATGGTTCCCCTTTTCCTCTTAAAAATATCTGAAAACAACTAGGAGACGAGAGTGCAAAACAAACACAAACCACATCTTCAACAAACTAGGACATATCCCTAACCATACTATATGAGAAGAGCTACTAAATACAATGAAGGTAAAGACGGATGCTGGAAGAGCTCAAGCCAGGGAAACAGCTTGCATCTTCCACACCCAAAACTATCAGTTCAGCTATCTAAATTACATAACAGTCAGAAAAGCAAACCCAATAGTACCTTGCTGGAAACATTTGAAGCTTTCAGACCTCATTACTGAAACACAGAGTCAGGATTGGAACCCCTTCCCTGCAAAAAATGACATACCCCTCCCTAAGAAAAGCTGATGCAGACTAATGAAGATAAATACTGCAATAGCAAAATTGTTGTTTTTCAAAGATTTAAGTGAGGAATGCTTTGAGAATCTAGGCAAAAAAAAAAAAAAAAACCACTAACTTAAAATGTGAAGGAAGATGGAATCAATGCTTAAAAATCAGTGAAGCAGGCGGGGAGCAGTGGCTCATGCCTGTAATACCACCACTTTGGTCAGGAGTTTGAAACCAGCCTGGCTAACATGGTAAAACCCTGTCTCTCCTAAAAAAAAAATACAAAAATTAGCCAGGCTGGGTGCCGGTCGGGGTAGGGGAGGAGGGCTGTAATCCCAGCTACTGGGGAGGCTGAGGCTGGAGAATCGCTTGAACCCAGGAGGTATAGGTTGCAGTGTGCCGAGATCACGTCATTGTACTCCAGCCTGGGAAACAATAGCGAAATTCCTTCTCAAAAAATAAACCACTGAAGCAGTATCTAGAGTACTCAAAAATTTATCTCCAGTATAAAACCATCAGTTAAATATTATTAAATATACAAAACCATAAGGAATATTGTTTTCATAAACTTTAAGAACATACTCGATAAAGTTCAGCTATCTAAAAGAAAAAAACTATCAAAAAGAACAAACTTTGAGCAAATCCACCTAACTATTGATCTAAGACTATGGCTATGGCTACAGAAATAGTGTAATTATTACAATTCCTGACAATGTTTCTATATAACCAACAAAAACATGAGTAAAAAGATTGAGAAATGCTAACAGCTTTATACTGTACTGCTTTACATCTTTAAGTGTATTTCAATTGTTAACATATCTTGTCTTATCTCCTAGTCCATTAGGTAGAAAAGATGAGGCTATAACCACAATGCTATAATAAATATAAATGAGCTAAATACATTCATTTTTTAAAAAGTCTCAGATTAGATCTCAAAATAGAATGTAACTATATGAACACAAGACTCTTCTAACCCCCCATTTGGATGGATGAAAATGAAATAAAGGGCCAAGCACAATGGCACAC